CTTTCATCCAGCTTGTACTGTATGACAGTTATGCAGAATTTTATTAAATTCAACCATTGCTATTCCAAACCGGATTTATTTTAAATCATGCTGTCAATTCACCATGAGCCAAACATTAGCTGATTTTGTTTTGGGTAAAATTATAGGCTGTCTCTATAAATATTAGCTCCTTCCAAAAATGATTACCTGGTATAAGTGCACTGGAATATAAATATATTTAATTGTATTGTGTGAACTATTGCCTTGTCATTAAAAGAAAAATGGAGCGTAAAGTGTGGGAGCATAAACTATTACTAACAACCCATTCTCTATTTTTGGAAGCTGCCTCCCCATCTCTTTCTGTTTTGTCTCAAGTTGGATGATGCATGTGGGATGCCGGTAATCGGCTCTCATGCCATGCAGACAAAAATGAAATTCAGGTTTGCTCCGTTTGCCAATTTTTTTTTTCCGAAAGTGTTATTTACAAATAACTCACATTTGTGTGATCATCTCATGCCAATATGGCCACCTGTTCTTTATGCTACCCCCGGAAAGCATCGCCCCAGTGTGCTACCTGATGGATTTTTAAAAATGTGCCTGTCGCACTTGTATGTTTCCCAAATGAGCCAAGTAATCCTAGCAATTATAAACAGGCTTAATTGTTGGCATCCCAAACTGGAATTTTTCTCGATGAAATTCTATAAACAACAAAAAGACTGCATCCCACTTCAGATTAATTTGGGGTATGGAGCTCTGCTTATGTTCTATCCACATGAAGCCTACATTATGTACACATGAAATGAACATTAGCGCAGGTTGCATTTTTTTTAATTGTTTCTATTACATCTTGTGTTCCCCAGTCAGTCACTTGCTGTAAATCCGGCCAACAGAGAGGAGAATGACAGCTGAAGGGTATTGTGGATATTCTTTAAAGCAGTATCTATGTGCAATGCTTATTTAAAAAGAATATAACGTTTTTGAATTAGTAAAGAAATAGATTTTTTTAGGCAACATGCATAACTAAATTATTTATATACAATACATAACTAATGCATAACTCTCAAAAATACACAGACTTGAACAGACCCCCAAACCAAAAACACAAATATGATAATGATATTCTCAATGCACAACTGGAGCTCACTGTAGGAAACTTAAAATGGAACTTCACCCTAAAGTGATAGTTCTGTTTTATGTCCTCCCCCCCCCTTCTATTTTTTGAGACTTTCAGGAGGACACATACACAACCCTCACTGCATCTCCCTACTGATCTAGGCGTTATTGTAGAGTGGCTAAACGGAAGCCTCGCCTCAGTTCAAAACACATGAAAGCCTGCCTAGAATTTGCAAAAAAGCTTTTGCAAACTCCAAACAGACTTTTGTGTGTTTTGTACTGAGGAGAGGCCTCCGTCTAGCCTCTCTGCCAGAAAGCCCAGATCAGTGGAGGGCTGCGGTTACATAGTTAGTCTGGCTGAAAAAAGACAAAAGTCAATCCAGTTCAACGTAAAAAAAAAAAAAAAAGTTATAATCCTATACCCACAGTTGATCCAGAGGAAGGCGAAAAAAACCCAGCAAAGCATGATCCAATTCGCTTATGCAGGGGAAAAAAAATCCTTCCTGATCCCCCGAGAGGCAGTTGGATATTCCCTGGATCAACTTTACCTATAAATGTTTGTATCCAGTTTTATTCCGTGTATCCGAGAAAGAATCCAGGCCTTTTTTGCAGCAATTCACTGAGCTGGCCAGAACCAACTCTTGAGGGAATCTATTCCACATTTTCACAGCTCTCACTGTTAAGAAACCTTTCCGTATTTGGAAATTAAATCTCATTTGCTCCAGATGTAAAGAGTGCCCCCTTGTCCTCTGTGATGACCTCAGGGTGAATAACTCTACACCGAGTTCACTATGTGAACCATTGATGTATTGTTGATCATATCCCCTCCTAATCTCTTCTCAAGAATGAATAAATTCAGTTCCTCTAATCTTTCCTCATAGCTGAGCTCCTCCATGCCTCTTATCAGTTTGGTTGCCTTTCTCTGCTCTTTCTTCAGTTCTCCAATGTTCTTTTTGTGAATTGTTGTCCAAAAAACTGAACTGCATATTCCGGATGAGGTGTTACTAATGATTTGTACCAGGGGAATGATATCTCTCTCTCTGGAGTCTTTACCTCTTTTAATACATGAGAGGATTTTGCTCGCTTTAGAAATCGCAGCTTGGCATTGCATGCCATTATTAAGCTTGTGATCTACCAGAACCCCCCAGATCCTTCTCCACTATTGATTTTCCCAGTTGTACTCCCCCAGTATGTATGATGCATGCAGATTCTTAGCTCCCCAAGTGTAAAACCTTCCATTTATCAACATTATCATTTGCCACATAGTTGCCCACACAGTTCATTGAGGTCAGCTTGTAAGTTGGAGACATCCTGTAAGGACATTATTCCACTGGTGTCAGCTGCAAAGACTGAAGCAATATTTATAATCCCAGACCTTATATCGTTTATAAATATATTAAAAAGTAAGTGTCCCAACACTAAACCTTGGGGTACATCACTGACACCCCTAGACCATTCAGAGTATGAATCATTAACCGCTACTCTCTGATTACAATTCTTTAGCCAGTTTTTTCTACCCATTTACATACAGATTTTTCTAAGTCTGTAGACATTACCTTACACATTAGTCATGTGTGGGGAACTGTGTCAAATGCTTTTGCAAAATCCAAATAAACCATATCCACAGCCACCCCTCTGTCCAAGGTTTTGTTCACCTCCTCATAAAAAGAAATCAGATTTGTTTGACAACTTCTGTCTTTCATGAATCCATTCTGTCTGTTGCTTAAAATATTTTTTTTTTTGCAAGAACTCATCTATGTGGTCCTTTTTTAAACTCTCCAGTATCTTCCCAATTATAGAAGTTAAACTAACAGGTCTATAATTACTTGGTAAAGATTGTGATCCCTTTTTAAACATAGGCACCACATTGGCCTCACGCTAATCCAATAGTATTATGCCAGTCATTAAAGAGTCCCTAAAAATTAGAAACAATGGCTTTGAAATGACAGAGCTCAATTTGTTAAGGATCCGTGGGTGTATGACTTGCGGTCCAGGTGCTTTATTCACCTTTATTCTGTCTAAATATTTGCAGACCATATGACCATACAAACAGTGATGGCTGTCCTTTTGGAACTTTGTCCCATCTCCAAACAGGACCTCTGGAGCTCAGTTAGAGTGACCTTCGGGTTCTTGGTCACGTCTCTTACTAAGGCCCTTCTCCCCCAGTTTCTCAGTTTGGCTGGGCAACCAGCTCTTGGTATAATCTTGGTTGGGCCATATTTCTTCCATTTGAGAATTATGGAGACCACTGTGCTCTTGGGAACCTTCAGTGCAGTGCAGCAAAAAAAAACTGTAACCTTCCCCAGATCTATGCCTGGCAATAATCCTATCTCTGAGCTCTACAGGCAGTTCCTTTGACTTCATAGCTTTTGCTCTGATACAGTATGCATTGTCAGCTGTAAGGCCTTTTATAGAGAGGTGTGAGACTTTCCAAATCATGTCCAAATGTCCAAGAAATTTAATTTACCACAGGTGGACTCCAATCAAGGTGTAGAAAAATCTCAGCAACGGTCAAGAGAAATAGTAGGCACTTGAGCTAAATGTAAAGTGTTGTTGCAAAGGGTCTGAATACTTATGCCAATGTGATATTTCAGGTTTTTATTTTTAATAAATTCACAGACATTTTAAAAATTTGGTTTTCTCTTTGTTATTATGGGGTACTGAGTGAAGATTAATAATAAAAAGCAACATAACAAAATTGAAAAAAAAGTGAAGGGGGTCTGAATACTTTCTGAATGCGCTGTATATATGTTGTTTTTTTAAACGTTTTAAATTTTCTGTGGTAGCCCTTTAGGCTAGATGATTACACAGGGTTGGCTAATGCATACATTTGAATTGTTCAATTTTTTTAATGTACTGTGTCTACGTATAGACAATGAATAGGACAACACAGAGGTCTGCAGAGTGAGGATGACCACCCTCGCTTCCAGTTACTAACTGAATCCAAAAGGAAGAAGCATGCTTTATTTTGGTGACTGAAGAACTTTGCCTTGTTCTGTCAGGACTACCAAGAAGAATATTCAATGGCCCTTTTCAAGGATTTAGTATAACTAAAGGCAAAACAGTTTTTATTTTTTTTGCCCCCGTTAGGAAGATTCACTCTAATTTTCATGGTCTTCAATGTCACTGGGAATGAACATGATGAAAAACGCTAAATTTTGAGCTGCCACCAGAACAATAATAAAGGGGCAATCTTCCAAAGGGGACATCTGTCCTGCGAGAGTTATCTAAAAATGGGAATTTCCTCACTATGAAAAGATATCTTCTAAGTTCCTATTGAGTCCCGAGGTGAGGGAGCAAAAGAAAATCTCCCTGAGACACAGAAAAAAAACTGACAGCAGTTTCAATCCTTCCCTATGCTATCCAAATACAGCGAAATAAAGTTTTTTCTTTTTGATATAATTTAATAGTTTGCTGTATTAAAGCTGAACTTTGGGGAAAACTCAAAATTGTCCTTAAAGTGACTCCCCCCCCCACACTACAATGGTTAAGCTCTTGTTGCTGCATAGGGTATCATTAAAACCAGTTTTACTTGCCTTATCCCTTGCTCCTGTAGGCTTCCTCCTATCCAATCCCCAAAGTCTCTTTTCTTTGGTGCTTCATCCTTTGCAGACACCCTGACATCATCATCATGTACAATGCAGGACCAGCAATCCTTCACTGTAAGCCAAGTGCCTGTCCACAACCCAGAGCATTGGAGGAAAGAGGAAAGTGCCAGTTACCTGGTGAGCAAGGCATAAGTCAACAAAGCTGCCTTTTACTTGAAGTAATCATATGCAAAAAGATCCTACAGGGTGGTTGTACTGAAGTCAATCAATGGATTGACTTGAGTACAACCAGCCTGTCCAAAAATAGATTGAATCGTGGACCATCTCTGATGAACTGGCCAGGGGCGGACTGACAACTCATGGAGCCCCCGGGCAATAGAGGATCATGGGGCCCCTGTGTCCTTGCCCAAACTCAAAAAAGCCTATGAAAAAGGTACCAGGGGCATCTCATGGGGCCCCCTACTGAACCCGGGTCCTCGGGCAGTGCCCGAGTTTCCAAATGGTCAGTCCGCCCCTGGTGAGGGGTAAGGTTAGCAAAATTGCTTTTCAGTGTTACCCTAAACAAAAACAAACTTTGAACCCAGGCAGTACAGGGGGGAACCCCAATGCAAGGGTAGGTTTGACATTTCCCTTGCGTTCATAAAACCTACCTTACATTAAATCACACAACAACCTACAAACAAGCCCTGATATATATTATAATGCAGTATGTTCCAAGCGCATGTGAATGAATTCTGTGTTCCCCCACTGAGTTGATTTATTTATGCATTTCATTTTACTGTGATCTATTTAACAGACGAGAGATTTCTTCTGTGGATGCTAAAATAAAGTGGTTTCAAAGGTCTAACATAGTGCAGGAAATTAGATGTGTGATTATTATTACTAGTTTAGCAATCAGTGTATGGTACAGCAACACTTGGCTGCGGCCAGCCTTGCGTTCATATAAGCCCATATGCTTCAGACATGTACTTGCAAAAGACAGTATGTGTGCAATCAGCATTAATTTATATTCTTCAAATTATGAATCAGACACAGCATCTCGGATAATGAAAAATGTGCTTAGCTTCCTGACATTTCAATTTAGGGCAGTATTTACCGAACATGATACTTTGTGAATATGCAAGATTATTTTGCCATCTGAGATTTGGATATTAATTTTATTGCATGTATTCTGGGGATATAATTCTTTTAACCAGTAAAGGTAAATTAAGAAATGGATGAAGAGGTACCATTCTTTTATATTACTTAAGTTATTTTATTTCATTTTATGTGAAAAATGTGTTCAAGCTAAGTCCACAAGTAAATGTTTGCTCAATTGTCTCTGTTTATAGAATGGGAATTTTTAATTTTTAGCATTCACCTCTCCAAAGCTGCAAAGGAAGAGGTTACTTTTTATAATAAAACTCCTTCCACGTTGCACAGAATGTCCTCTGCAAAAGTACCCAAGAGATACTCACAATTTTGACTATACAGTATATTGTAAATGTTCTGTAATATATTAGCCAGGGCTGGTTTATGTTTCTACTAGGCCACTTAAATTGTGCGACCACATATAATTTAAAATTTTACTGCCTGTAAAATTTTAGTACACTTTAAATAATACAAATATGTTTGGTAAATGTATATTTCCTAACTGGATAGTACAATTAAAGTAAGTGTTATCCTTTAAGATAACTATTAAAATCTTTACCATTAGACTTTAAACTTTTAAGTTTTAAACTTTATAACTTTTGCCTTAAAAACCTTAAACTTTTAACTTTAAAAAAACTTTAAAAAGCCAACTTAGGTACTCCTGTGCTTCAGGTATCAATCCTCCTCTGTCTAATTGAGTTCACTAAGAATTTATAGTAAAAAAAAAACACGGAGTGAAGGCTAACTTTTATGGTAGAGAACATTTAAAATTTGGTAGAACCTGAACTGTGGAAGCTGTGCCCAAAGACAAGCAGATAGCAAATAACTGCAGGTGATCATTTCCCACACTGGCTTAAAATGCTTTGTTCCACCTCCTGTTTCTGTGAGAGGGTGACCAATTTGGTGGAGGCAAGGCTTTGTTTTGTAATCTCAGAGCTGCCTCCAGTTTATGTTTTACCTAATAGGGGAATATTTAAAAAGCATCAGCTTCATAAAAGCAGATCCATAGGATAAATGAAGTAGAAGCAAATGGATCCTTGTACTGCAGGTCCTCAGTTACAGCTTTCTCTCCAGCAAGGAGAACAATAAAGCTGGACAAATACTGTGCAAAGTTTTGCCGGTTCTTTGTAATCTAGCCAGAAATGTACTTTTTGGATGGCCCTGTTGGTCCCTTCCCACATGACTGTCAGGACCCGGGTATGAACCTGCAACCTCTGGCGATATCTCTTGCTGAGCCACCTGGGATTCTGGACAGCTGCTTGGATAATACCTTGAATGATCCTGCCTTGAACCTTGATTCTCTTGAAATGCGAAACCTTTGCTCCTCCCAGAACTACTTGGTTTAAACCATGTTTCTGTACTTCCAGTTTGCCAGAATACTGTGCTCTTTCCAGCCAATATTTCACTCTTGTCACTCCTATTGCTGCCCGCATCTTCACTACTACTCATTACCAACCTTTGGCTTGCTCTTCAACTATGCTTCTGTTTGACCCCTATCTGCTATATCTGCTACTGGCCCCAGGCTTGCTCACTTCCTGGTGGGGCAATCTTGAGGACTGCGACCTGATACTAACATGCAGCAAAAGCCATCTCCACCATTCTCCACCATCAGGAGCTCTGGTGAATACCAGTTAGTGCTTAGACCCTGCACTTCATGTGAGCCTATGTCATCTGGTAAAGTCACCTGCTGGTATACCTATCCTGCTGGTCAATGGGAGCTTCTCTACTGCTATAGCTACTGGTCTCTGAGATTGAACCCTGACCATGACAATGACATCCTTTGACTGAAAAATCAAAGGAGCAGGGTAGAAAATTGTCAACTATACATTGGAGGCATCCAATCAGATGAAGCCATTGTTCATGTATTTTAACCACTTGCCAACCACACTATAGCCAAAAGATGGCTACAGCTCGGTTGTCTAGTTCTGGGAGGGCATCCATGGACATCTTTCCAGAACTCACCCCCTGCACGACCCCAGCGATGTGCACCTGGCATTGTCAGTTATTTCTGTGTCCTACGGACACAGCTGATTACATGAAAAGGTAAAAGGCCAATCACAGCGGCCTTTTTTACCACGTGATCAGCTGTGTCCAATGACACAGCAGATCACAAGGTAAATACAGTTGACAGTTATTGGCAGCACTTTCCTGACGCTGTCACAGCATCAGGAAAGTACTGCTAATAACCGGCAAATGTGACAGAGGAGATCTGCACTGATAATCAGGGCACTGATTATCAGTGCCCTGATTATAAGTGTCGCCCATCAGTGCCCAGCAGTGCAGGGCCAGCAGTGCCCAGCACTGCCACCAGTCAGTGCTGCCCAGCAGTGCCGCCTATCAGTGCCCATCAGTACCACCTATCAGTGCCCATCGTTGCTGCATATCAGTGCAGTATCATCAATACCTCATCAATGCCCACCAGTGCTGCTTCAACAGTGCCACCTCATCAGTGCAGCCTATCAGTGCCCATCAGTGCTACTTATCAGTGCTGTCTCATCAGTTCAGCCTCATTAACGCACATCATTGAAGGAGAAAAATTATCTGCTTGCAAAATGGTATAATAGAAACAAAGAAAACCTTTTTTTTTTTTTTAATTTTTTGCTATTTTTTGTTTATAGTGCAAAAAAAAAAAAAAACACCCAGAGGTGATTACATACCATCAACAGAAAGCTCTATAAAAAAAATGTTAAACATTTCATTTGGGTACAGTGTTGCATGACCACGCAATTGTTATTCAAAATGCAACAGCGCTGAAAGCTGAAAATTGGCCTGGGCAGGAAGGGGGTAAAAGTGCCAGGTAGGCAAGTGGTTAATTGGCAGCGGCTCTCAGAATACAATAGCAAGGCACGGGTGTGGGGGGTAATTTATCCATCCACACTATTTGCAGGGAAGGATAAATCTGTCAGATTTTTTTTTTGTTCAGACTGCACGCTGAACGAAAGAAAAAATTCTATCATTGTTTGACATTTTAAGCAACACAATAATAGTACCACCACTCCTAATCTTGTGAGACTACCAGTTGGAGGCAGCCTTTACGAAGCTCAAAGTAAAGAAGTGCACCACTATTTTTGAGGAGAAATTAAAGACTAAGCTAAAATCTTTTATTGTACCTAAGCATATTTATTATACAATTATAAAGTACAAAGCTCACTGTGGCAATTTTTGAAGATGTTAACATTAATAAATGTGAAAATATTAGTAACATTTGTAAATACTTTTTAATTTTAGCCAATAAAAACAGGATTTTCTTTTAAGGCTCTATATCCTTTGCAGTCTCCTGCGTTCGGTGAGTTGATTTATATTAACAGCGTATGCACACAGTCCAAAGCAAGCAATGTCTAATGTGTTTTACTGGAAATAAATGGTGGAGTAACATAGCCAACCAGCTGGTCTAGGTGCAACATTACACAAAGTAACAAAGGCTAATTAGGAAAGAGCATGGCTGGATAAATGTTTGTGCTGCCGGTGCCTATAGGCACGTTGCCTCGTGCATCACAAATTCAGCATTCCTATTCCAGACAGATATTTATGCAGCCTGTATCTGGCACAGAATGCTACAGTATTCTCATCTTTGCAGATTTATGGGAGGAGGAGTGGAGAATTTGCTGCTTTGCCCAGGTTTATATATGTTTAACTTGTAACTTCAAAGGATCTTACAAAAAACATTGAACAGTCCAATACCTGGAATGCCAACAGCTGAATGAGGCTATATCATGTATTTTCTGGAAACAATTATTGCAAGCAAACTGGAAGACTACTGGTCTTGTTCAAAAGGCTTGTGAGTCTTATCAACAAGCAAGCATTCAACAATCTTTTTTGAAGCCTGTAAAGCACCCATAAGTTCCAATAGATAGGTTGCTAGATAGGCTAGGTACATTCAGTTCTATTTGGCTCCCCTGCAGGGGTGGACTGACAACTCATGGGGCCCCCCCGGGCAATAGGGGATCATGGGGCCCCTGTGTCCTTGCCCAAACTCAAAAATGCCTATGAAAAAGGTACCAGGGGCATCTCATGGGGCCCCCTACTGACCCCGGGCCCTCGGGCACTGCCCGAGTTTCCACATGGTCAGTCCGCCCCTGCTCCCCTGTGATCACTGGAGCGATGAGTGATTATTTTGGGCTGTTCTGGGTTTCACTGGCTGCAAGCTCAACTACTTCCCTTTGCCTTATTGTGGATTGAAGAATGTACTTGGTCGGAAGAGGCAGACCCTCATTCTGAATATTTATATGGCTTCAGCCAATGCCTGGGGGGGGAGGATGCCTAGTAGGTGGCTGAGGAGCTTGTAAATAGTCTGGGGCCTGGAGCAGCAGAGCTTTTGTCCAGGAGAAGTCCCCAGCCTGAGGGGATGATGCTCTGAAGTTTGCAGAAGCTCACTGAAGTCCCAGCTCAGTTGGGGAATATTCTCTGAGAAAACCTGGAGCTGATCAAAGCAATTTCACTAAGAATCTGGTCTGGGAATTCATGGGAGAAGTGTCTGACTGATATTCGAAGAAGGTATCCAAGTATCCAGGGACATTGTGAGTACAGACCTAACTGTAGAATCCTAATGACTATCTGTGGCTTCATGCATCAGTTCCAGTGCTTGCCTAGATTGGGATATTTCTGTTTTTGGGGTCCAAGTGTCACTCATTCCCTTAGTGTCTGCTACAGGAACTATTCTAAGAAGTTTAAATAAAGCAAAGAGTGTTCTCTGATTATTGCACAATGAGTATCCCACAGCTCCCTGCACCCTAACTAAGTTCAACTTGTAAAAAACTTTAAAAGATACCCCAAGACTGACCACTGAGCCTTAAGATTGACTGTGCTGCTGTGTGCCTAGCTGCTACTACACCAACTTGGGAAAAGAACCTAGGAACTAATTAGTGGGCCCTCTGGATGTGAGCGCTACAGAGTACATAGTCTTATGAGATCAATTAATGTGACCTGGCCCAAAAAGTATCTGTGCTGGTCCTCAGATATTTCCTAAAAATCTTGTTGGATCTTAGATTTAGACATTACATGAAGCCTCTTGACATTATGCCAACCCCTTCTGCAACTAACCCTTTCCCCAGTGATTCACCAGTCAAATGGAAGAGTTTTAGTGGACAGTAAATGCTCCAGCAATTTGACACTTAAATGACAGGAGGTGGAGACACCACCTAGACCTTTGATCCAAATGGAAACACAGGAAACATAGAGATTGGTTTGAGACTAACAGACACTTGAGGGACCAACTGCACTTGAACACTGCTGTCACCTTGAAAACTTTTACGTTAGGTCAAGTCAACTTTAAAGTGACTTTGTTACTTTCCTGAAACGATCTGTACAATGTTCTCTGCAATAAGAAACTTTGAATGCATAACTTTCTGGTGGCAAGTAGAAACACCCCTGTGCTTCAGCACTAAGCAAAGTTCTCAAAATTGGGCACTTTGAGGTATGCTCTGACTCCTACACCACTGTAATGATGTACGGGGTCAGAGAAAGCAACCATGGTAAGCAGTAGAGGACACAGGCATTTGAAAATCCCAAAAGTGTCAAATTAGTGTTGAATATTGAGAACTTTGCCAGAGACTGCAGCACTGTAACAGCTGTTGACATACATTGGAGGAGGTGTTTGGGCACCCTGCCAAAAAAGGCCAAAAAAACCCATCTCTAAGCAAAAAAAAATAAAACCACCCACAACTCTGTCCCACCTACTTCCCTCCATTCAGCTGTTTTTTTTACCTACCTTTTAATTCTTGTTTTTCTCACTTAAGTCTGTTGTTCAAGTCCCTCGTCTACTCTGTTGCTGGATGCAGGGACCAGTAATCTAGGGCTGCAGATGTGCCTGAGAGGACCCTACTGATAGACCGACTCCGGAAAAGAAGAGGGAAAACTTGGGCCCGGAATGTCATTTGACCATGGATTTAGATGAGTAAAAGGGGCAATTATATAGGTTTTTTTGTTTTGTTAGGGATTAGCTGAGGTGTGGGGGATCAGCTTTAAGGCTAGAGTACAGAAGGATTTGAGGTGTGCCTAGCATGTCTTTGGCATATGCTTGACATGCCATTTACATTGACAAGTAAGGAAGAATAAAAGCAAAGAACACACTGATCAGGAACCTCATTAGGATGAACGAATGAGGGTGGAAAGGCTGCTACTTTTATGGGTGGCTATAGTAGCACTATGTGCTATTGCTACTTAACAACTGGCTGATTAGCTGCAGTCAGTAATGCCATCCCTTAATCCAAGCTGTCTGCTACCAGGACCAGTAAGCCATTGTGTGAACACCCCACTGCTGCTGTTCGTAAACACTGGGGTTTATTTTGTTTGATTTGTAAGGGAAGTTGCACTTTGCAAGGAAATTTTCTCCAAAACTGAGTGAAAAAAGGTGAAACTCTGCTTACTTCCATCATCCAATCATGTGCAAGCAAAAATATTGTGCTTGTTTTTCCTTGCAAGGGATTGGGTATTCTTTTCAAAGTGAAATGTCACCACATTCACTAAGCACTGGGGTTAAATCCTTTGCAATGTGCAAGTCAACAATCTTTTTGCCTTTAGTAAATCAATCCTACTATCAATCCTACTGCTTGCACGATCCCGTTACTCTGCTGCCAAAAATTTCCAGAGCCATGAATGGCCACCCGCATGAATGACAGTTCAAGACCGGAGCTCACCACACCGATTTGAGTGCGTATGTGTACTGAGCCATTCAGAAGCAGATGCATATGGTACAGAGGTAATTACAGCAATCTGCCAACAGATAAAGAGGCATGCTTGCTTAGGGTTCTTTAAGATGGTCAGCCGTGGGGCCATAAAACAGGTAGCTGAGATGTTGTTTTACCACCCCATGGCAGTCCTCATGAACTGTCCCAATACAGCAAGACAGGGCTGTATACATGTCGCAGCTGAGGCATTTTTAACTTGGGGTACAGGGGTTGACTAGTGGCCAGGGGCGGACTGACCGTTTGGAAACTCGGGCACTGCCCGAGGGCCCGGGGTCAGTAGGGGGCCCCATGAGATGCCCCTGGTACCTTTTTCATAGGCTTTTTTGAGTTTGGGGAAGGACACAGGGGCCCCATGATCCCCTATTGCTCGGGGGCCCCATGAGTTGTCAGTCCGCCCCTGCTAGTGGCACTGTTTGGCAAACTCACCCATTGAGTTCAATGGGGCATGTAATTAAAGGGTTAAATCAGGTGGCGAGGAGGTTATATAATTCCTCCTCCCCACCTGCCCAATGCCCGGTGAAAAGCGATTTAAATGCATATCACTTTTCAGAGGACACCACACTCTGCCATAAGTTTGAAAGAACCCCAATTGTTTAACATTACAGCTTACAGTTCATATATCTGGAAAATCAATATTTAGAGCACAAACAGGTATATTGATCTATTTTCATAATAAATTCAAAGTCGCTGTATTTGCTTTTAGAAGATTACCGTAGTTTTGAGGGTCACACTTGCTTACCTTGTACAGCATCTCTATAGTTTCACACAATCTATTCTTTTTTTTTTTTCTTTGCTTTTTATGCTTTTGCCTACAAGATATTTTCCACAGCTTCCTTTTGAAAATATCCTTGATGTATGTCTTTTGTATTCCTTGCTAAATAAACCTTGCCCTTGATTTCAATGCATATGTAGTGTTCCCTAGCAACAGCATCTCATCCACTTGCCCTTTTCAATATGCACATGCTAACAGAGCATAGATGTTCACAATGTCCAGGAGCTGTACCAAGGACTTGTTGCAGAGCCACGCACGGCACAGGAAATACGCACCTCGGGTATTGGGGAAAAAAGTCTAATGTTTCTTTTAGCTTGTCAGCTGGATATGTTTTAATGGTGGAAACAGGTATTCAATCACTGAAGATCTATGTATTCATTTTGTATTGAATAGCTGAACATGGCATTTTCCATTATTGCTGTATAATAAAGAAACACAGTTTGTGGTTTATTTTTTGTTAGAAATAGAACTGGGTTTAAAGTGACACTAAACGATATCCTTATTCTCCAAAAAATAATCCATACACATCCACTACATAATTACCTTATAATCGATTTTTCATGAAATCTTTTCTCACTGTGTTTGTAAGCTCAGGAACATCTCCTTTTCACTTTGTTTGATGATAATGAGCATGTAAGGCTGGCCATAGGCGAAGCAAATGTCTTTCCTGCAACCATGATTCCCCCATTAGCAGGGACAGTATTTGCAGGGGTACATTTAGCCTGCCCATACATGGTTCGATTCTCAGACATCTCCTGCTGAACCAGTCAAGATTCAAACCATCTATAACAGACAGTGTTGACAGGGGTATCCCTCCCGCAGAGCCACTGTAGTCTCCCAGCAGAAGGATGGGGAAAACCGTCCTTGCCAGGAGAACACAGTGATCATTGCTATAGGCTATAGCAGCCCCTAGCAATAGTCACATGCAAAATCTGGCAGGCTTCCTGCACCCAAGTTGATTGATCGATCACTGGGTACATTCAGCCTACCCATACATGGTTCGATTCTCAGACATCTCCTGCTCAACCAGTCAAGATTCGAACCATCTATAACAGACAGTGTTGACAGGGGAATCCCTCCCGCAGAGCCATTGTGGTCTCCCAGCAGAGGGATGGGGGAAGCCCTCCTTACCAGGAGAACACAGTGATCATTGCTAGAGGCTATAACAGCCGCTAGCAATAGTCACATGTACAATCTGGCAGGCTGCCTGCACCCAAGTTGATTGATCGATCACTGGGTACATTCAGCCTGCCCATACCTGGTTCAATTCTCAACTATTTCCTGCTCAACCAGTCAAGATTTGAACCATTTATGGCCGGCTTTAGTTGCAGTAATGTTTCATCACATGCCTGATGAAGGGTTCCTGTGTGGCCCCAAAAGTTTACTATTTTAACTTTGATCGCTAAATTAAAATTTGGGCATGTTTTGGAGATGCTTAGTATGCGCTGGTGACATACTTCTCATTTTGAATTAGATTGGAGATTAATGGGAGCTGGAGAGATACTAGGTCTCACCTGTCCTTGTGTGAATGTTTTACAGGTACCACACCCCTATTGGAACAGTGAAGAAAATAAACCCTAGTAGGAGAAAATAATGGGGCTTTTAAGGTACTATACCATTATGGGTAT